CCCACTCAGCTCCCTGCCTTAACCTCCGGCTCATGGGCTCCCCTCCTCCCAGCTGCATATTCCTATATAATCCTGCCATTTTGGCCATTCACTCTTTCTTTCTCTCTCTCTCTCTCTCTCTCTCTCTCTCTCTCTCTCTCTCTCTCTCTCTCTCTCTCCCCCTCTCTCCTCTCATGGCCTGGTTCAGTCTACTGGTCATGTTTACTCTACTACTTTCTCCCCGTGCTCTGGAATTTTCCAGATGCCTCTGGCTGTACTCTCCCTCATATCTAAAATAAAAACCTTCCCCTCAACCATACCTTGGAGCAGTCATGTCTTCACTGTATACAGGCATGGGAGTGCTAAGGAGCAGGGCTGCCGCAGTGGCCTCTGAGTGGACAATGTTGTTGGTCCTGGTTGCCATGCTGTGACTCTGTGTGGGAGAGTGGGATCCCTCCCTCCTTCTCCATCATTGGGTCACTCCCCAAGGCTGGCACTTTTGCATCTACATGTCATTCAGGACCAGAGATGGAAAGCAGTTTGGAGACTTCCTCTGGGTACAGGGTGTGGTAGCCTTAGGGGTGGTATTGAGACTGGAACCCTAGCCAGACTGACTCAGACAGGGTAGCTGTGACTCAGGTTTTCAAGAACAGAACATGGTGTATGGGGTGAGCTGAGGGGAAGCCCTGGCTCTGTTTCTCAGAAACAGAAGTCAGCTCTGCATCCCTCGTGGCTGGTGGCCAGGACTGGCAGAGTGAGAAGTTGGATGTGGCGCATTCCACAAAGCCCAGGGGAACGACTCTCCACAGAGGCAGCTGGATTTCCGCCTGCACTTCCCACCATTGCTTTACCATATCCTCCTGACTGAGTGTCCCTGATCTGGTTCCAGGGACACTGCCTGTCTTAGTTAGGGTTTCTAATGCTGTGAAGAGACTCCATGACCGAGCAATTCCTATAAAGGAAAACATTTCATTGAGGCTGGCTTACAGTTCAGAGGTTTAGCCCATTATCTTCATGGCAGGTGACATGCAGACAGATATGAATCCGGAGACGAAGCTGAGAGTTTGTCGTCTTGGTCTGCAGGCAACAGGAAGTAAACTGAGTGCCACACTGTGTGTAGCTTGAGCATGGGAGACCTCAAAGCCCACCCCCCACAGTGACACACTTCCTCCAACAAGGCCGTCCTTCTCCAACCACATCTCCTAATGGCGTCCCATCCTGTGGGGGCCATTTTCTTTCAAACCACCACACTGCCCTCAGCGAGCCGGAATGTACCCAGTCTCAGGGACTAGGCAGGGTCAGGCCTGGTTAGTGCTCAGATGGCAGAGCGAGCCTGTGACATGCTGCCAGGGGTAATGGAGGCTCTGAAGCTAAGGTCAGGCCAGGGCGCTGTTACAGTGAGCCTGTGTCCTGAGGTTGGCCGAGGGAAGGGAGGCTGGGCGGCAGGAATCTGAGGGCAGGCCAGAGGGAACAGCAGAGGACAGCAGAGCAGAGGCATGGATCAAGCAGAAGGGTGCGGGGAAAGTGAAGCTTTTTGCTATGAAACAGGTGGTAGGAATTTTTCAAAAGATGTATTTGGGGCTGGAGAGATGGCTCAGCAGTTGAGAGCACTTGTTGCTCGCCGGGTGGTGGTGGTGCATGCCTTTAATCCCAGGACTTGGGAAGGACAGGCACCAAAGCTACACAGAGAAACCCTGTCTCGAAAAAACAAACAACAACAACAACAAAAAAAAAAAAAGCACTCGTTGCTCTTGCAGAAGACCTGGATTCTCATGGTGATTCACAAACATTCTAAACTCCAGCTCAAGGGATCTGATGACCTCTTCTGACCTTTTAGACACTGAGCATACATATGGTACATATACATGCATACAGGCAAAACACCGGCACATATAAATTAAAATCTATACATCTAACTTTTTTTGAAATTAAGAAATACGTGTTTACTTTTGGGGACATGTAGGTGTTGGAACCTAGAAGCGGGAGTCAGACCTCTGGAGCTAGAGTTATGGGTGGTTGTGACTGTCAGATGTGGAGGCTGAAGACTTAAATTCTCCAGTCTTCTGCAAGAATAGCAGCTCTAGGGGCTGGGGAGATGGCTCAGTGGTTATGAGCACTCTCTGCTGTTCCAAAGGTCCTGAGTTCAATTCCCAGCACCCACAGGGCAACTCACAACTGCCTGATGCCCTCTTCTGGTGTGCAGATGTATATGCTGACAAAGTACCCATATGAATGAATGAATGAATAAATAAATAAATAAATCTTAAAAAAATAGCAGCTCTAGGCCGAGGTAGCACATGCCTTTAATCTCAGCACTTGGGAGGCAGAGGCAGGCAGATCTCTGAGTTTGAGGCCAACCTGGTCTACAGAGTGAGTTCCAGGACAGCCAAAGTTTTTTTTTTTTTTGTTGTTGTTGTTTTATTTTGAGACAGGGTTTCTCTGTGTAGCTTTGTGCCTTTCCTGGATCTCGCTCTGTAGACCAGGCTGGCCTCGAACTCACAGAGAGCCACCTGCCTCTTGCCTCCTGAGTGCTGGGATTAAAGGCGTGTGCCACCACTGCCCAGCAACAGCTGAAGTTGTTATACAGAGAAACCCTGTCTTGAAAACTAAACTAAGCTGAGAGAGAGAGAGAGAGAGAGAGAGAGAGAGAGAGAGAGAGAGAGAGAGAGAGAATAGCAGCTCTTACATTCTTATGTGCAGAGCTGTGGCCCTACCATCTGTTGCTGTTTTTGAGACAAGGTCTTGCTACTACCTAGGTGTTGTTCTAACAGTTTCCTTCAAGATTGAAATGTTCCGGTGGGGGAGGGGGTTGTTGGTTGGTGAGATGGCTCAGCGGTTAATAGCACTGACTGCTCTTCTAGAGTACCTGGGTTCAATTCCCAGCACCCACATGACAGTTCACAGCTGTCTGTCATTTCAGCTCCAAGGGACCCGACACCCATGGCAAAACACCAATGCACATGAAATTAAAAAAAAAAAAATTTGAAATGTTTGATTCTGCAGGGAAGCTCTTTTAATAGAAAGGTAAACGCCTCAAATCTCTTCAGGAAGTCCCTGTAACTGACCAAATTCACTAGGCCCCTCCCGCCCGAGTAAACAATAAAAGCTAAGCGTTCCTCCAAGACAAGATAAGCTGCAAAGATTCTCAGTCTAGCAAAGCTATAAAAAAGACAAGACCAGCTTCCTGGAAGATGTTCAGACCAACTGAGGCCCCGGGAAAGGACACTCTCCAGCCTGGTGAGCTGCCTGCAGGCTGTGTTTTGTGCTCCAGGTTCCCAGCTTTGTGAGCCGTCACCGTCCTGGTGTGGACCTTGGTGATGCAGCTGTCTTTGAGTCGTTTCTGCTCCTGAAAGTGACAGTCAACAAAACTCCTTGGTTTACCAAATGGGACTTTGGTGGTATCTGTCCTTTGGTCTGTGTGGGTTCCTCATCTGGGATGAGTAGATGTGTATGCCGCCGCATTTCCCCAGGAAAAGTTTTATCATATAACACCAACCCCAATAAAACTCATTGGTTCACTAAGTTGGATTTTGGGGATATCTGTCCTTTGGTCTGTCGTGAGCTCTCTGAGGTGAGTAGATGTTTGTGTTGCGTCTTCCTAGGAAAAGTTTGTCAAACATCAGTGGGCTAGGCTCCATCCTCCTGCCTCAGCCTCTCAAGCACTGGGGGTATGGGCGTGTACAAGCCCGCCCAGCCCCAGGCAGCAGATTTGATTCTTACTGCCATGGTCCTTGTGGAGCAGGCTGTGTAGAGCCGTTTCCAGTACGAGGTCTGAACTTCTCGGCTCTACCATCCCTAGCCACGCATGCGCAGACCTTGCTTCCGTTTCTGGGAAACAGAGCCAAAGGCTTTCTCTCAGTTCAGACATGTGTGTAAATGAACTATGAGCTTCAGTTTCCTTACACATTTGGGGGCTCTGTCCCCGGCTGATGAGGGATCACAAGAAGACCAACTGCCACCCCCTCCCAAACCTATCACCGACCTGACAGCTCACAGAGAACTCAGCTTATAATGAATGTCTCACTAGCCAGCAGAAGTAGTCCCAGACTCCCCACATCCAGACACGACTCATGGACCAGCTCCACTGGAGCATCTGGTCTCTTCTCTCTTGGCTCAGCAAACCTACCCAGGCACTGAGGCCTGTGACCAGGACCTCACACGAGTCAGAACCACAAGTAAACAAGAACTGTCCCACAGATTACAACCTAAACAGGATGTCACCATCTGGAGGACTTGTGAAAGCAGGATGAACAGCCGGAGAAGGCCCCCAGGGCAGGGTGACCCCTGACCCCCCCAACCCTGCTAGCATTGGCCAGACCAAACATGAGAAGGGTGTGCGTGGGCTGGACCATACACATTTGTGGTTGGAAGTGGCGGGGTAGACATCTCAGATGCTTAAGAAACCGTGGTGTGAGGTTCCTGAAGAACAGGGCCAGGGGATGAACAGAAGGCTCCTGTCCCATGCTCGAGCTTAGTTTCCCCATCTGTGCAATGGGTAGCCACAGAGATGTGGAAGCAGGGCTGGGTGGGGGCTGACAGGTGCCAGCTGGTTAACCTGTCCCTCTGCCGTTGCCGGGGGTGTGTGGGAGGCTTGTGCTTAGCAGCCCAGATGGAGAGAATGGGGGTGCAATTTGTCATGTTTCTGTTCAGAGCCTCTCAGCTAAGTGCCTTCATAGAAAATTATTAGTGGGCTGGGCGCCTCCGCCGGTTCGTCTACCCTTCCCCTCGGCCGCCTCCTTTCAACCTTGTCCGCCGGTTGGCGCGGTCTCCGTCACAGCGGCGGCCGCTCCTGTCGTTAGCTGCGGCTCCTCTCCCTCCGTCCCCGCCCCACCAGGTCCCGGGGTCGGCCCAGCCATGGCTCTACTCACGGCGGCAGCCCGGCTCCTGGGAGCCAAGAATTCATCCTGCCTTGTTTTTGCTGTCCGGCATGCCAGTTCTTCCACGAATTTGAAAGATGTACTGAGCAATCTGATACCTAAGGAGCAGGCCAGAATTAAAGCCTTCAGACAGCAACATGGGAAGACGGTGGTGGGCCAGATCACTGTGGACATGATGTATGGTGGCATGAGAGGCATGAAAGGACTTGTGTATGAAACATCAGTTCTTGATCCTGATGAGGGCATCCGTTTCCGAGGCTACAGTATCCCTGAATGCCAGAAACTGCTGCCTAAGGCTAAGGGTGGGGAAGAACCCCTACCTGAGGGCTTATTTTGGCTGCTGGTGACTGGAAAGATGCCAACAGAGGGACAGGTATCTTGGCTCTCACAAGAATGGGCGAAGAGGGCAGCTCTGCCTTCTCATGTGGTCACCATGCTGGACAACTTTCCAAATAACCTGCACCCCATGTCTCAGCTCAGTGCAGCCATCACAGCCCTCAACAGTGAGAGTAACTTTGCCCGGGCATATGCAGAGGGGATCAACCGAACCAAGTACTGGGAGTTGATTTATGAAGACTGTATGGACCTAATTGCCAAGCTACCTTGTGTTGCAGCAAAGATCTACCGGAATCTTTACCGGGAAGGCAGCAGCATTGGGGCCATTGACTCTAAGCTGGACTGGTCCCACAATTTTACCAACATGTTAGGCTATACTGATGCACAGTTCACTGAGCTTATGCGTTTGTACCTCACCATTCACAGCGACCATGAGGGTGGTAATGTAAGTGCCCACACAAGCCACCTGGTGGGCAGTGCCCTTTCAGACCCTTACCTGTCCTTCGCAGCAGCCATGAACGGGCTGGCAGGGCCTCTCCATGGACTAGCGAATCAGGTAAGACCAGGCTCTCCTGTTCAGTTTTCACCCACATGCTCTGCCCCTTGTCGTGACGTTCTTTCCTTGGCATGTACATTGACGTTCCTCTTCCCCACCCTAAACTGAACATACAGGAAGTGCTCGTCTGGCTAACACAGCTACAGAAGGAAGTTGGCAAAGATGTATCAGATGAGAAGTTACGAGACTACATCTGGAATACACTCAATTCAGGACGGGTTGTCCCAGGATATGGTCATGCAGTACTGAGGAAGACTGACCCCCGATATTCCTGTCAGAGGGAGTTTGCTCTGAAACACCTGCCTAACGACCCCATGTTTAAGCTGGTTGCTCAGCTCTACAAGATTGTGCCCAATATCCTCTTGGAGCAAGGGAAGGCCAAGAACCCTTGGCCCAACGTAGACGCTCACAGTGGGGTGCTGCT